AATATTTACCAGAAATGTCTTACGCATCATCACATACAACTTTACCTGTGTATATCTGCTGATGATACTTATCATGAGATTGTTTCATGTGACTTTGGCATGGGCTATGGATTGTTAAATTAGAATTTGCATGTCAGTACATTTTAGGTTTTAATGTGTTAAGATTTAGTACCCCTAATTAACCTTTTCTTCCCCCAACTAGGTATATACACCTGTGCTTATCTTGCATTTCTATACTTTCCTGAGACATTTTGTCTCCTCATGCGCTAAAACTTTACCAATAGAATAATATGGAATCCAGGCCATGTTGTTGTTGTTAATGTTAGAAAATGGTTAAAAAATTGTAGGTTTGGTATTTAAATGTTAATCATAGCAGCAGTATTTTAATGTTAATCATAGCATACCCCAGAAGTATTTATTACAGGACTTAGTGCTGAGCTTCTAGCAAATAAATAGGATACATTGGTAAGGTAAAAATACGACTCACTTTATTGTTACACCTAGGTTCTAAAAAATAACTAATCAGTAGACAAAACTATACTGTAGTAGAGAAATCCCTAAAAGCTGATAGTCATGTGTGTAAGTAAGAAGAAAAAACATATTTATAAGGAGAGCCTGGTGTCCCTGTCCATGTTGGCTGAAAGATGAAGAGAGAGAGACTCAGAACAAAGGGTCATAAATCTCTTAACCTCTGGCAGAATAGGAAGTGACCTCTTCATAGTCACACTGATCTAATGGCCATAGAAATAATTAATTTTATGATGAAGACGACTCATCCTTTCTCTTCTCCAACAGTTAACTGCCTTCAAATCAACTTCAACCTATGGCAATCCTATGCATGAGATACTTCCAAGTCACCCTATCCTCAGCCACCCTGATTAGCTACAGCAGACTTATGACTGTGGCTTCTCTGATTGAATCTGTTTGGTATACAGGCTTCCTCTTTTCCTATTGCCCTCAACATTACTAAGCATTGTTGTATTTTCTAGTGAATGCTTTCTTATGATATGGCCAAAATATGACAACCTCAATTTAGTCAACTTTTCTTCCAGGGAGAGGTCAGGTCTGATTTGCTTTAGGGCCCATTAACTGTTTTTTGAGGGAGTGTTTAGCACTGTCTTCAGCACCACATGTCAAATTCCTGTCATCTTCCTTCACTGCCCAGCTCTCACAACAACATACCCAGAAATAGGGAAAAATGGTTGCATGGATAATCATAACTTTAGTATCCAATGATATATCTTTACACTTGAGGATCTTGCCTGGTTCTTCCATAGCTGTCCTTTCAAGTCCAAGTCTTCTGATTTCTTAACTGTGGTGTCTGATCTGATTGATGATTGAGCCCAAGTATGGAAAAATCTTGAAATATGTAAGTGTCTTCATTATCTACCTCAAAATTATGTAGATCAGCTATGGTCACTATTTTTGTTTTCTCGATATTTAGCTATAAAACTGCTTTTACAGTTTCAGCCTTGACTTTCTTCAGTCCTGCCAAATCTTTAATATTTTCTGCTTGTGGTATGGTATCCTCTGCATATGATTGTTGATGTTCCTTCCTTCAGTTTTCATGTCTTCTTCTTCTGAGTCTAAGCCTGCTATTTGTATGATATTTTCAGCATACAAGTTAAACAGAGTGACCCCCCCTTGCCAATTCAAAATCATTCCATTAGGTCACAAGAGATGCAAATGTGTAACTTGCATGACACTGAAGGCAGATATCTCTCTCTGTAAACCAGATTACCATAGGCTACAAACCATGAATAATAATTCTATAGGATATCACTGAGAAGCTGAAGTGGCAGTGGAAAATAAATCTTTACCATTAGTACTGCAGTTGTTACAAACTGCCAACAAACATAGTGATGCTGTTAAACTAGTGAAGCTCATTTATTACAATACAGTTGGCCCTTGGTATCCATGGGGGGTACATCTGGACACACACACACACACACACACACCCGTGGATACCAAAACCCGCAGATGCTCAAGTTCTAGGACTTCAAAGGCGGTGTGTGCATATGGCCGCCATTGGGGACAATGTGGGATTGCCGTCTATGGATATTTGAATCTGCGGATGACAAGTCTGTGAATACTAAGGCCTGACTGTAGTTTGCAAAGACGTAAGCCAATATAGATTGAAAGCAGATTCTTAAAGTCTTCTTCCCACCAAAGTGAATGAATTTCAAGATTAATAAATGATTCTCCCCCTCTCAATCTGATAGCATCTTCACAAAATTGGATTTGGTCATCAGGAGCCTGTGGCCTTCTATATATTATTGAATTGTGTGTGTTTGTTCAGGGGCATCACTAGTGTGTGTGTGTGTGTTGGTGCGGACTGCACTAGGTGAAAGTCCAGGGGTGAGATGAACACTTGGTAGGAAAATTGCTCACTGTCTGTCTTAACCCTCCTGCCAGGGTGCCTCTGCAAAAAGAGGAAGGATGCCCCCATTGCAGAGCGCTGTCTCATCCTTCTGGGTCTTTCCAGTTCTGGCTGGGCAGGCAGGCAAGGAATGGGGAAGGAAGGGAGGCTGCAACTGTCCTCTTGTCCAGCGGCATAGAGGGGTTTTTTTTTGCATCTGGCTGGCAAGGCAGAGGGCGGGAAGGTGGGTGACACCAACCCTAGTGATGCCACTGTGTATGTGCCCTCAAGTCACCTGCTAACTTAGGGCAACCCATGAATTTCATAGTGTTTTCTTAGGCAAATAATTATATTAGCTTACTAAAATGTTTTCTTCTCCTTTTTTATTTGGATATACCCGGAGACTGGCATATAGAGAACATATCGCTTTTTTGAAGCAACAGTTTCACAGGCTAACTGCTGTTCCTGTGCACAATTCAAAGTAGTGGTTATGGCTTATAAAGCTCCAGATGCCTTGGTTCCAGCCTACCTGAAAGACCACGTCTCTTGGAGTTTTAAGATACTCAGAGAAGGGCTTTCTCTCTGTCCCACAACTGTAATAGCCATTTGGTGAAGACACATGTCAGAGGCTTCTCAGTGGCTGCTCCCAGGCTGTTGAACTTTCTCTCACAGGAGGCTAGGCTGTTTCTCTGCTCCCTTTCAGCAGGCAATTTAAAAAAAACAAACCCTACAGGCATTTAGATATTAACTAGTTGTTGGGACTCAAGATGGCTTGAGAATCTTTAATTAAACACGCTGTGCTTTTATTCTCACTGCTATGTTTTACATTTCTAAAAATGATGATAAATTAAATAAATATTTTTATTGTTTCTTAACAGTACAGCAATTTGTTTAAGCTATGTTGTGAGCCATCTTGGTTTCTATATCAGGAGAAAAGTAGGATATAAATTAAATAAATACCTATGATTGGCAGTTACACCAGTGGCAATTATGTTATTTGGGGGAATGCAGCCTTGCTGATAATCTAACATGATTGCTGGTGACATGTGAAACTCTTGGCACATTCTTATGCTACTTTGAAATATAATTTCTGATAAGAAATGATAACTAGTATTGTATACCATCTGTTTTGCCTACATCTTGTTGATTTATGGATGTCATAATTGTATATATTTTATAACGTTATTGACTTTAACATTTTTTGCAACAAAATAAACTTTGGTTCACAAATTCTCAACTTCGGTTCTCCCCATCCCTCACCAGATGTGAAATAATTGATTATCTACTTATCCTCTTTCATCATGTTTTTATTACCTAGATAATACTTATTATGTTAGCTTGGTTGTAAAAATTCTGGTGTTTGTTCACCTCTTTTGCTTTAAAAATAAAAGCTGAAGACTAGTATCTATGCTGCATAAAAGGAAGCCAGAAACAGGTTCATATTTCACTTCTTTGTCTCATCACTTCTGCAACTTTCATTAATTTCTCCACACACACCCCTCCTGCATCTTTTAATAGCCTATATTTTCTTTGCAACTTTTGGTATTCTTTACCAAATCTGGAGTGGATTAATTGAATTGGTGGATTTATATAGATGTTGATTTACCAAGTTCCTACTGATCTGGGAGTCTATACTAGATTGGAAAAACAATAGATTTTGTCCTTTCTAAAAAAATCATTTCCTCATTCTCCTCACCTTAATGTCTGTTAATTCTTTCCTCACTCTCAAAGTCTCATTTTTCCCTTTCTCTTTCTTTTCCCCCTTCCATTCCTATTGTTAATAGTCCATTACTTCCTTTTATTTGATATCTCCCTGGAAGCAGAAATTAATCTGAAAAAAGACTTTCTAGAATGTAATGCCATAGCTTCTTTCAACCATGTGGTTCAGATCTGGATAATATATTTATTTAAGATATGACATAAGATTTATGAAGTAATATGGCCATTGGAAGCATTATATAATGTATATAATTTATGAAGTAATATGGCCATTGGAAGCATTATATAATGCATATAATTTCCCCATTGCATCTAAAAATCTGCCTCTAAGCATTTATCTCTGGCAGCAGCTTTGGTTGTGTATAAGTTAACATTTCTGCTATAAATGACACTCTCCTGAACCTCTCTTTAAAAACTCTCATTCTATTAATTTACCACACAACTCTGCATTGAAATGTTAAAGAACCATTTCAATGATGTCTGTTAAGATCATAACACAATTCCCTCTCTGTGGCTGCAGATTAAGGCTGTGCAACCAATTTGTCCAAATTGTGAAGTGAATCAGGCCAGTTTAGATCAATTTCTAGGAGCTCAGGATTGGATCAAATTGGCCCAATTTGATTCTGGAGTAGAAAAGTATCATTGAAGCAATTCAGACCAATCCACCATTAAAAATAAGTGAGAGAAAACCAGTCAATTTATCTTCAATGGAAACTGTTGGTTTGATACAGAGGAGGGGAACTGAGCTTTGCCTTAACATATTGCTGTTGTTGTGTGCCTTCAAGTCGTTTCAAGACTTATGGTGACCCTAAGGCAACCCTATCATAGGTTTTCTTGGCAAGTTTCTTCAGAGAGGATTTGCCATTGCTGTCCTCTGAGGCTCTGTGACTTGCCAAAGGTCACCCAGTTGAGTTTACATGGGTGAGCAGGGATTTGAACCCTGGTTTTCAGAGTCATAGTCCAATGTTCAAACCACTATACCAGCGCTGGTCCTCAAGTGTAGTCAGAAGCAAAAATTTTACCAGCAGTCTCCAATGCTTATGAGGAAGATTTGTATGAGGTCACTAAAGTTAAACAATTATCTCTGCATCTCTCCATTCATCTGCTAGATATAACTGATAATCTCAATTAACTGAAAAAGTTGTGGTGAGGGTTTGCACAGTTATCACCTGAATATGGTCTCTCTGAGTTTTTCTAATTTGATTTTGCATCTTTTTCTCTTGTTGAATAACCTAATTTAATCCTGTTTGCCTTTCTTGTCAATTTCTATATTGAGTAACAATCTGTTCATGAATCTATGTGTGTGCTTTAGTGAATCCTATTCTCTTCCTTTTAGGACCAGTTGCCTCTAGTTGTTAGCTTTCTAATTTACTTTCTCCTGTGATTCAGCTTTAAAAATAATCTTTCCAATTCATTTGTTTGTGTCTCTCTGTATGTGGTTTTGGTCTGTCAACAAGCATGTTCATTTAATTCACAAACCATATATTATTTTATTGCATGTTTATTCTTACTGTGAAACAAAGCAAAACATTTTTTTCTTGTCCACTTGTTTGAGCAAGCAAACCACTAAAGTTTCCATTAGCCCTCTTAGTTAAAATTATGTATTATTTACTGGTTTATCAATTTTTATTTCTAGTGTATCTGATTGTTAATTTAATATACGTCAGTCATGACACACCTTCTAACAATAACCCATATCTGCATGCTTCCAGGGACAATGATTTATCCTAATCTTTAGTAAGTGTCATTGGTGGTGGTAGTGCAGTGGACATTTGCTTCCAGTGGCAGGAAGGCACCATTTGAGGCCGGTAAAGACAGGAACAGCACCAACAAGAACAACAAGACAGCACATGACAGAGGTAACCCTGTGATGGAAGCCAAGCAGTCTGTATCATGTCAAAAAAGGCAGAGTATTCTGTGGGGCTGCTTTGAAGTGGAAACATATCCCAGGACTGCTATTTGCCTTTACTGTAGAGACCAAATAGACAGGAGCAGACGGAAAGAGCATTATAGCACCAGCAACCTGCTCATACATCTTTAATAGAAGCAGAAAAGTTCCATCAACCTGTCAGCAGGGACATGACTCACAAGATAAGAATGAACAGTTCTAAACCCCCTAGTAGCAGAAACAATTACTGTCCATGAAACAAAAATTTGCAGCCCAGATCACCAAGTACCTGAAGGGGGACCAGGAGGGGACAGCAGATGATATCATTATAGGGACTGCTGGTAAAATTCCCTGCCATTACCACCACTCCCTTCATCCTTGTGGTATCTAATTGAACCTCACCAGTTGGACTGCTTAGAAAAGATTTGGGAGTCATGCAGCTCTCCAGATGTTATAACTGTCCTATAGTTCCTCACCATTTGCAGTGCCGACAAGGAATGCTGGAACTTGCAGTCCAACAACATCTGGTGGGTTACATTATTCCCATCCTGGCTTGAAATGAAGTAAAATCACCACTCCTTGAA